TAATAGAACCACTGATGAACCTCTTAACTGCGAAAGATACCAAAATTATTCTGGTTATTCTGGATGCCATTTCAAATATATTTCAGGCTGCTGAGAAACTAGGTGAAACTGAGAGACTAAGTATAATGATTGAAGAATGTGGAGGTTTGGACAAAATTGAAGCTCTACAATACCATGAAAATGAGTCTGTGTACAAAGCGTCACTAAACTTGATTGAGAACTATTTTTCTGTAGAGGAAGAGGAAGATCAAAATGTTGTGCCAGAAACTACCTCTGAAGGTTATACATTCCAAGTTCAGGATGGCACTCCTGTGACCTTTAACTTTTAGATTGTACAACTGAGGCATAAAGTTGTTTGTTGTGAAAAAAAGAAAAGAATGGATACAGAGGTAGAGCAGCATCGAACAGACTGTCAAACCACTGCGGGGAGGGGTGGGGGTGGGGATGTGGGGTTAAGAGATCAACCGAAGGACTTGTATGCATGCATATAAGCATAACCAATGGACTCAAGACACTGGGGGTTAGGGGAGGCCAGGGAAAGGTCAAGGGGCAAAAACAAGGAGACATATGTAATACTCTTTGTAACACCTTTAAGCAATAAAACAAAATTTAAAAAAAAGAATGGATAAGTATTAACAGAAGAGAAAACACAAGTGGCAAGTAAACATATGAAAATATGCTCAGCCTCATTAATAAAAATCACAGTGAGAAACCATTCTATATCCATCTGTTTGGAAAATATTAAGAAGCCTCAGAATATGCAGATGGTAAGACTGAGGAACAATGGCAACCCTTGCACATTGCTAGTAGAACTGCAAATTGGTACATTCTCCCTGGAACTCCATGTGGCATCACCTACTAAAGTTGAATATGTCATATACTGAGACCTGGCAGTTCCAGTACTGAGACTACAATCTAGAAAAACTTATTTGCCTCAGAAGACATGGGCAAGAATGCTCAAAAAAGCATTGTTTGTAATAATAAAAATTGAAATCAATTGCATTTTCATCAACAGAAAAACAGTAACCGAATTGCAGTATATTCATAGACTGCAACACTATATTACTATCACATGTATATGTTTGCAGTACATTCATTAAATGCAGCACTATGTTAATGTCATATATATGTTTGAAAATATCTGGAGTAGGTTCACATGCATCCGTATAGGTAAACTTCACAAACGTCAACGTGAACATAACAAGCAGGTTGCAAAAGAGTACACTCAGCATGAGTCCACGTAAAACAACTTAAGGGGTATTGCCATCTGTGGTTTTAAAACAAGCCCTGGGATAGATAAACACCATAGTCACCACAGTGGTTAAGTCTGGGGAGGGAGAGGAAGTGCATCAGGGAGGGCTTAATGGGGCTTCAAATGACCTACTGGTAATAATCCCTTTCTTACACTGCAGTAGTGCGTGTGCAGATATTCATTTTTGTCCTTTTTTATACTTTGCTCATAAGCTATAAATGTTCCTCTGTATGTGTAAATATTTAAGTATTTTTAAGATTCTCTGATTTTCTGTGCTTATGAAATGCTAAAAGATGCAAGAGAAGTCACCTAGACCAGTGATGGCGAACCTATGACACGTGTGTCAGAGGTGACACGCGAACTCATTTTTTGGTTGATTTTTCTTTGTTAAATGGCATTTAAATATATAAACTAAATATCAAAAAATATAAGTCTTTGTTTTACTATGGTTGCAAATATCCAAAAATTTCTATATGTGACACGGCACCAGAGGTAAGTTAGGGTTTTTCAAAATGCTGACACGCCGAGCTCAAAAGGTTCGCCATCACTGACCTAGACCCTGCCATAGTTTCACCACAAAAAAAAGGCTATTCCTTTCAGCATATCTCTTTGTAATTAGAAATTTCTTTTCATCCCCCTCCTTGCTTTGACAAGGGATAAAACAAATGTCCTTGAGGGAAAGCCTGGGATCATTCTAGATATTACGTCCACGTTTGAGACATGTTTGCTCTCCATTTAAATGATGAATCAGCAGCAACTAGTAGGCCTTTCTCTGAACTGGAGGAAGCAGACTGGAAAGGGAAGGATTGAGTTCCTTGCTCAGGAGGACACAAGAACCAGCTGTAAAAGGGCTCTTACTTTTTCAAGAATTTTTACACCATCAGGACAACTATTATTACACACATTTTACCAAGGAGGCTTATGAGAAACAGGGAAGAGAAACAGCGTGGACACAATGAACAACTCTTCATTCAATTTTTCTGAATCCTAATTCTGTATTCTTTTTTTAAAAAAAAAAACTGCATTAAGTTATATACAAAGAAAAACAGACAATAATAATAATTTAGGCAGCTAACAGGCCAATAAAAAATATTTTGGGATGAGGTTCTATGGCAAAACCATTCATATGTAATCTCTCTCTCTCTCTCTCTCTCTTTCTCTCTCTCTCTCTCTCAGAGAAGCTTCCTCTCTGCTTACACATCATTTTGACATAGAGAAACAAAATTGTAATTACTAGACAGAGGTCATTGTTGGTTAGCATGGCCTACAAGGACCTGTATAATCGCGCTCCTGCCTGCTTCTGCCATAGGAAGGCCAGACTACTTGATATCACCAACCCTTTCCTACATAGTATCATAATCTCTTACTCTAATCTCCTTTCCAGGCTAATAATTTAGTCCTAATTTTTCTTGGGAAAGTGATTTAATGTGAGCCTCATTTTTTATATGCTGGAAAATAAAAATATTGCCTATTAATATCACAAGGCTGTTAACAAAAAGATATAGGACATTGAGAGTCCCAGTAGTGGCAACTAGAGGCTGGGGGTGGGCGGGGGGGCGGCAGATAAAAAGAGACTGGACTGGGTATAAGGAACTTTTTAGGATGGCAGAAATGTTCTAAATCTTAATTGTGGTGGTGGCTACACAGGCATATGTGTTTTCAGCAGCATGATCAGCTTCCTTGCTGCACCTCTCAGAACCTACCTCCCTCTTCCCATCTCCTCTCTGGGATTCCTTCTAACCCACCTTGCTTTGCCCAATAAAAACCTCAGGCTTCTCAGTAAGACAATTCCTCCCATTTAAAATAATGCTTTGGAAAGAGCTCTTACCCCCTGCATATGGGAAAGGACAGAGGATTTCAAGTCAGATTGGCTTCTGAGTGGGGACTCTGTTCCTGTTCCAGCTCCACCTCTTCCTCTCTGGATGACTTGACTGTGGGCAGATCCCTCCTGGAGCCTCAGTGTTCCTGGAGAGGATAACATCTCCACCTCATAGTGGGGCCCTGAGCATTAAATGAGATAATGTATGTAAAGCACTTAATCACTCCGTAGATGATACTTATTATTATCATAACGCAGGTGAACTTGAGCAAAATCCCTTAACCTCACAGAACCTTAGTGTGCTCACTTTCAAAACAAAGTTATTATTGCAGATTTGTCTACTTTAAGGTTGGTCTAAGAAAGACTCATTGAGATAATAGATGTGAAAGACATTATCTCTATATATAAAAGTCTAAGCAACCGTCTGACCAGTAGCTATGACGCACACTGACCACCACCAGGCAGATGCTCAACGCAGGAGCTGCCAAGCTGCAGTGACTTGGCAGCTGCAGTTCTCGGGTGACATACCCGGAACCAGAGAGGAGGGAGCCCAATTCTTGGGTGCGTCACCAGAGAACTGCCCTCTTGCAATCCGGGACCCCTCAGGGGATATCAGAGAGCTGATTTCAGCCTGATCCCCGCAGACCGGGCCAAAGGACCCCACCAGTGCATGAATCCGTGCACTGGGCCTCTAGTATGTAATATAAAGAGCTACTCAATGGTAAGCCATTGTTAGCATTTTCAATGATACATTGAGCTGAAAGCTTCTTTTTAAAAGATTCCAAAGTGAAAAAAGAGGGAATATATCCATGTGCTGCTACTGCCTTTCTGTGACATTTATAAGCAATCTGGCAATCATCCAACTCCACGAGTGAATTTGATTCCACTTTTAAATCGCAGCACTGAGGTTGGTGCATTCTGGTTTGCTCAGCTATTCCTTCACCTTGACTTGACATGCCCAGAGTCAGTTGGGAAGACACCGGGTTTGGAATGAACTGGAGCCTCTCCTTAGCTTTTTTTGGACCTCACCCTGGAAGGTTCCATCTCCTCCCAAGAGTTTTGAATCCTCCCATGGACAAAACATCAGCTCTCATGAAATAAGGCCAGAGTGTGGGCATTGTTCTACTGGATGTGGGAAATGATCCCACACCAGCAGACACCGTGCCTTCGCCCTGGGAATTATCCTGGTACTGATTGCAGAGAGAAGCAATTGAGAGAGAAGCAATTATCGGCCATGGGAAAGACTCTTCCCTGGCAGGGCCTCCTCTCCAATGGAAATATGTTTCAGGAGGAGGGAGGAGGTGCTTGGTCCATTCCTGAAATCCCCAGGAATGAGGCTCCTGGTGCTTATTTACTTGGTCACAACCAAGGTCTAAACCTGTTGGTTCCAGGACAGCAGACCAATCCTTTAGTCTCTCATGTGCTAGGATAGTGGAGGTAACATTTGCCCCATGGGCTACAAGGTGTAAATGCAAAAAAAGGAATGTGTGAAAGGCTTAGAACAATGCCTGATGCAAAGTAAAATGTCACTAGATGTAGGATGACCATATAATTTATGATCTTCTTTAATTTATCCGGACACTTTTGACAGTGAAAGGCGCACTACACAGACTGGGCATTAGGACAACAGGTATAACCATGACTGTCACAAGCAAACTGGGATGGATAGTGTATCAAGGATATCATATTAGCTAGTATTATTGATCATGGGGTTGGGCATGGAAGCACTAGTGGCTAGAAGTCAATGACCATTGGTGTGCCTGGAACTAGCTCCCTGGGCCACTAGAGTCACAGAACACTGCCCGAGGCTCAGGGAGAGATGCATCTCCCCACTGACCATCCAAGCTCCAAGCACAGTTCCCAAGTACAGGCTCTCTCAGTTGTTGTAAGGGAGTCATCCTGCAGCATCTGAGCTGTAGCCTAAAGATGGGCTAATAAAGCTTCAGTGTCACGGGGTCCCTCTTTCTCCCATTGATATTCTACCCATCTCATTTGTCAGCTGGTTGAGTAGACAACCGAGTAAAAAATAAATGCAAGGGAGGAATCTTCCCTTACTCAGTACATCTTGAAAAACTGAGAGGTTAATGTGGAGAGCTGGTGAGAAGCCCATATTCTGTATCCCCAAACCATACTCCATCATGGTTACAGTCTCGAAGGGACCTTAAAACATTTGGTGTGGACATCTCCTCTTGTAATCTACTGTCCTCCCGACCTGCCAAATTCACTCATTCACTATGTATTCATTCATTCAACAAGGC